CTGCACAGCTGCCTGCATGTCGCTGTTCCTCGCAGGGCTATTTCAAGTAGCGGCTGTTTAAAAACAAGTTCATCAACGGTGATGAATTATAATAAGTCCTGCGAGGTGCCGACAACTCGGCACAACACCGGTGAAGCTGTGGCTCCATCTCTTCAGCAAGTGTTCTTCTTGCCACTGCACACATTCACGCTACGCCTACATGCGCAATGACGGGTCGTTTATTTACGCACTTTAAAAACATTTATTGGAAGTTTTTTTTTTCTTTTTACATGATTATTTACAGTATTAAACGTTGTAACAGGCTGTATATTAACTTATTGGGAGAAAACTGGTAGTTCTATGTAAAATCAGACGTTGAGCTCCCCCATATTGCCAAAATGGCGTGATCCTTGGGTAAGTGTTGTTGCAATACTTGTGTGTTCATGATGCGCAGTTCATAATTTCTCTCATAATTTCATGTAATAAATAAGTAATTAATTTAACGTAAAGTTAAAAATATAATGCATGTTTAAGAGCTAATGGGTAAAATAGGCAGCTGAATAGGATGTGATCAACAGTGTATTTAGTCCACTTTCAAGGGACTTTAAAGGATTTAATAACCTCTTTTCACGACAAGCGGCCAACGAGGTATTTTACCACTTCGTCTTTATGAAGCTAGACGTTGTTTGTATTTTCTTCTGCTAAGGTATGTACTGTAGAATGCACTGATACATGTGTACTGTGTTCATTTATAAATGTGGTTCTCACCGCGTAAACAAATCGTGGACGTGTCAGAGAGACCAGACGTGCCCACAGTAACAAACGCCCGTTTCAAAGAACCGACCGGTGTCGTTGCGAAGCTTTGACTGTGAGATTGAGTCGAATTAGGCTCCGCCCATCGACGCATCAAATCTTCGACTATTTGGGGTCAGCCCTAATTTATATATACGGAAAAAACGTCATCAACACTTTTTTGTGCAAACTGAAAGTAGCAAAGCTGAAAGTAGCAAAGCTGAAAGTAGCAAAGCTGACGCTAACTGTGAGGGTCAGATAGCTAGCTAGAACATTACGTAAACTGGTTAACAAACTAGCCAAAGCTGCTGAAACGAACACTAAAACTTAACAGAAACTGTTAAATTGAAGGAGTCTGTGCTAAAAATGGATGAAAATCTGGCAACATACACATCAATTTCTGTTCTGATCTCAACAAGCCTGGGCAATTTAAACTGAGCAGGCACCAATCAGAGGCAGCGTTTTATTGACGTCATCCATAGACGTTTTTACAGTATTTTAACACTAAAGTATTTTGATACAAAAGATGAAGTTATATATTAAATACATGTATCATAAATACTGCTTATCCCTGCTTGTCCATAGTTGTTATACACTGTCAAAAATGTAAAATATTTCATCATAGATCTTGTTCTCAAAGGAAGCATTTTATTTAGTTTTAGTCAGCTAATACTTTTTATTACAGTTTTCACTGACAAAATGAACAGTGCTCTGATCTGAGTGCTTTCAGGCGCCTCTTGTTTCGGGAAGCAACGTTCTCATTCATGTTTGTCATAGACAACGTGAGGAGGACAGTTGGAGCTCTTCAGCTTTTATTGGCATGAAACTCTCCTGGTTGAATCTTCAAAGGTTCAAGCTGTCCTTCCTTCAAACTGTCAAGCTTTGACCTGTATTTGATTTTAATTACTTGTTATTTCAGTCAAGCTGTGAGTGAAGAAGGATCTTCCATCGTGAGTATATTTCAACATCAGTCTGTAAAGGTTTAAATTAAAATAAACCTGAAGGAGACCTTACCTCTTGTGTCGCCCTCTCTGTGGACTTACGCAGTCCTCTCACAGGTCCTCAGACCACGTGTTGGATACCAGAGGACTGGCCGGGCTTCGAGCTTCTCCTCAGGTCCTCGGGGTACGTTTGATTTGGTTCACTGGCGAGGTTCATGTGATCGGGCTGCGGAAGCTGCAGACGGATGGAAGGTGTTTTCTTGACAGTTAGCAGCATGTTGCTGTCGTCAGTCTGACCACAGGCCACGCCTCCCCGCAACACACACACAGGCAGCTGTTAAAGGTCTTTCCACTAACTGAGTGATGAATAAGTTTAGTTTCAAAATGAGTGTATGTCACATATGATTTAAAGTAACAGACCGACGGTTGCTTGAACTGAATGAGACTTCTGCTTTCTCTGACATGTTCGGGGGGGGGGGGGGGGGCAGTGTGAATGGTTGTGACCAAGTGTGACATATGAGTCTATATGAATAATAACACAGGAAAAGACTTATTTAGGCCAAATAGATCAGTATGAGTCAACAAACCCTTTCACATTTTTAACTTCACTTCAGAGACACTTCAGAGACACTTCAGAGACTCTTCAGAGACACTTCAGAGACACTTCAGAGACTCTTCAGAGACTCTTCAGAGACACTTCAGAGACACTTCAGAGACTCTTCAGAGACCACTGTCCTTCATCTGAAAGTGCTTGTCACATGTTCAAATATTGGAAACCTCCTCCCCCAACGCGAGTAGTGGTCTGCAGGTCAGTAGTGGTCTGCAGGTCAGTAGTGGTCTACAGGTCTATGGAAATGTGGGGTGTTTTGTTCCGACTGTGTCCAACAATTTTGAAACTTTCACGCCAGGTGAGCGAAAAGGCCAGAACCCTCTTTTCTTTAAATTTTTATTATTAGTGTTTCTGTCACTTTTCAGGTGAACTGCCGAGTTCAAGCCCTGTTCATGTCTTCAAGGAGAGACTGTCTGTAGATATGAAACAAAACCACATCGCCCCCGTGGCCGTTTAGAAAAGCTATGAACCAGCACGTCCTCACCAGAGACACGGCCGCATGGGTGGATGATGCAGCAGCTCGTTACAACTCATATCTACGTTTTTGTTATCTGTAGTGGCAGAGGAAGTCAGGTGACGTAGTATGAAGAGCGAGAAAGTCCATGGAAGGAGGTGGTGAGGTGGATGGATGAGTCAAATAAACTCTTCACTCAGGAGACTGAAGTTTGAGACCCAAACCACCATCTTCTCCTAAACATGATCAAGTGGTTTTGTTCCCTAAACCTAAACCACCAGTTTCACATGTTTTCACAATGTGTTAAACCTCTCGCTGAACTGGTACCAGCACTCATAACTTTATGACCACTGACAGGTGAAGTGATTAACTCTGGGTCAGCGTGAAACCTGTCAGTGGGTGGGATCTATCAGGCAGCAGGTGAACACTGTGTCCTCATAGTTGACGTGTTAGAAGCAGGAAAAATGGGCAGCGTGAGGATTTGAGCAATTTTGACAAGGAACCAAGCTGTGATGGCTGGACGGCTCCAAAGCGGTCTGCAGAGGTCAGTGCCTATCAGAAGCGGTCAAAGGAAGTAAAAAGAGGTGAACCGGCGACAGGGTCACGGACGGCCAAGGCTCACTGATGCACGTGGGGAGCGAAGGTTGACCCGTGTGGTCCGATCCACCAGACGAGCTACTGGAGGTCAAAGTGCTGGTTCTGATAGAAAGGCATCAGAACACAGAGCAGACGCAGTGGAGTCCAGGCCTCGACGGGGATAAAGCGACTTACAATTGCTTTATATGTCAGAGGTCGCACGCCTCTGGAGCAACAAGGGGTTAAGTGACTTGCTCAAGGTCACAGTGTCGAACCCGGGTCTCTCACACCAAAGGCATGTATCTTATCCATTGCGCCATCACCAGCCCAGGATCAGCAGGTGGTCATAATGTTATGGCTGATCGGTGTACTGTATGTCGTCGTACTTTCCAAGGGACACACAACTCGTTTTGGGACACTAGACAATCGACTTTTATGTTTATGTATGAGGACGTGTTGCAGAAAGACCTGAATTGGTTCTGTTCAAACATAACCACATAACATTTTCATTTGTTATTTAACTACAAGCTGTATTTCAGAACGTTTTTAACAAGTTATGCTTTAAAAAAGTGGTGGGGACAAAGTCAGCCATTTCAGAAAGTGGTGGGGACATGTCCCCAGCGTCCCCAGCGTCCCCAGCGTAAATGACACCTATGCAAAAAATATTATCGGAAAGCATCGGAAACACACAACACCACTACAGTCACCTCTGCAGAGGTAACGATTTCTAAGAATGATAACAGGCGATGTGGTGACGACCTGAAACACTAAACAAGTGTGTAGGTGTGAAAACACCTGGTAAAAGACATTTTTAAGATAATTTAGGTAATTTAGTTCTAAAGGTCAAGCCCCAAAAAAGACGATGGTCTCAGCTCACCGTCTTTATCTCACACCTGTGGTCCACAGGAGACATGCAGATGTTTATCCATCAACCAAATACTTACTTTATATATAACCAGAACATATGAAGGATTTTCTGCAGCCTGTCATGATCCTGGTCTGTCTATCTGTGTTTGTAATTATTTGGGCCTTGTCTGGGTTCTGTGTTTTAATTCTTGCTTTGGTGTTTTCATGGTTATGGTCTTTGTGTCAGCGTGCTGGTCCTTTAGTAGTAGTAAGAATGCAGAATCAGCAGGTTGAGTCAGACCAACAGCACCCCAAGTATTAACATACAGCACCCTAAATTAATCAATGGTCCAATGAACATGCTGCAAATTACTGATCCAGCCTAATTAATACATTTAAACTGCGGGTCTGCTTCTCCTCTGCTCATCTGAAAAGCCTCGTTTGTTTCTTTAAAGTCCAGTAAGCATTCGTGAGTCTTTGTGAAATTACTGTTCAGGTTTAAGTCCTTCAAACTGCATTAACTGATCTCGCCACTTGGGGGCTGTAAACATCTGACACATTATCAACTTCAGAAGTTGGTGTAGGGAGCTTCCTCCAGTCTTTACACATCCAGGAGACGTTGGAGTCCAATATGTTTTTATTTAGCAGCAGGACGAGCGGAAGTCACATCCCATCTGTAAGAAAAGTCTGCTTTGTTTGCAAACCTCACCAAACTCTCCTCAGAACATTTAATATTACTACTAATGAGAACAATAATAACTAGTAAGTAACCAGTATTCTGATGTAACATGCCCAATACATGTAGCTTAAATGTTTATTTTGTGTATTGCACACATATGGGCCTAATAATGTTCTCATGCAGAACCTCTGCAGGTATTTATAATTTATCACATTCACTGTCAGTACAGGAATAATGACCACATCTTTGAACGACTCAGCCGCAACCAGTTTGGTGTTGTGCTCATTGAAGGCTGTTGTCTATGGCGTCACTTTCGTGTCTTTATTAAGCAATGAAGACACATTGCACCAGTTCAAACATGCAGGCATTCTTGCATCTAATGTCTTCTTCAAAACTCTTTCTCACGTTTACTAACTGGATGTTACCGAGCTTTCACTCTGACCTCCGAGCAGTGCTGCTGAACATAAACATGTGTTGAAGCTTTACCACAACTTGTACCAGTTAACTTATTGTGCATGTATATGAAATGGATAAAGATCCTGTGGGTATATGTGGGTTACACAACAGTAATAAAACAACATGTCTTCCCTGTATTTTCATATTAGATTCACAAATATGTACAAAAGTCTACTAATTAAATAATAATTAATAATTAAAATAATTTAATGGCATGTTTAATTAATTATAAATCAATATCAGTATTGGCAACACTTCTTCCACTGCCACTGTTGTCTGTCTCAAGACAGCACCTGTCTACCAAACAGCTTCGCTGTAGCCTGTTTCCTTTTCAGTGACGTACGTACGGCCAAAATGTCCTGGTTTGCAATGCAAAAACATGAGGCAGCGTAGCTCCAGCGTCCAGGCTCATAGGTGTTCAGGTTGTTTTTCTTAAACTCCAGTAGTTTAACCTCGCTGGTGATCCTCAGGGACAGATACTCATTACTGTTTCTGTACTGGAATTAATTTGTACACTGATGACACAATTTTAATACCCTTCAAAACTGGATTTCGAGGGAAAGCTACTACAAAATCTAACTTTTCTTGTGTTTTTGGTCACTTTTAATATCAACAACAGGTAACAAAGGCCAAGTTCTTTATTTTGTTTCATAAAATACTTTCAGTGGATGTTTCTCACATCACTGGCTTGAAGACACTTAAGTTAAGTTTTACTGCTATTACAAAGAAATAATGAGTAAAGGTCCCTCATACGTTCTGTAGCTTAAAGAGAAAAACAGTCCAACCACGGGTCGGCTGGTCTTTCTTGTCAGTCTTTGCACATATTTCCCATTGTGTTATAGTTTATATAAGTCATGGGTGTCTATGTCTGTCAGCTTTAAGCTACAGCATGTTGGTCTGCTTTGTCGCCGAGCTGAGCGACGTCTTCCTGTTGATTTTGATGGTGCTCAGCCACAAGCTGCTGCTCCTCCTCTCGGCGTTTGCTTCATGCGTTGCCTCCTGTGTGGGGCTGAACACCCTCCTCAGGCTCATCTGGGCCCGGAAAGCCTTGCAGAAGATGAAGTAGATTAGCGGGTCCAGGCAGACGTTGAGAACCGACACAATGAGGGTCAGCTCCTTCAGGTAGAAGAACGCCTGGCTCAGCGAGCAGCCATTCTTCACGAAAGCGTAGGGTAAGCGAATCAGGTGGTAGGGGACGAAACAAACGAAGAAGACGCTGACCAGCACCAACATGTTCCTCCGTGACTTGGCGAGCTTCTTGGAGCCGGAGGATGCCGGCTGCCTCTGCTGTGCCAGCGATAGCTTGCGGGAGGTGCTGTAGTAGAAGAAGACCAGGGAGACCAGGACGAGCAGGAAAATGGCAGCGGAGCAGCAGTGGATGATTTTGTATAACAGGCTGAGCTGTTTACTGTGCAGGACGTCACAGCTCACTGCCTCGGGGACCGAGGTTAACGCTGCCTGGGTGAAAAGCGACATCAGGACGTAGGTGCTCATCATGGTCAAGAGGAAAACCCAGGTTACCACAGAGACGATGCGAGCAACTCGCACCGTCTGCAGGATGTGAGTTCCTAAAGGATGGACGATCTTCAGGTACCTGGAGGGAGCAGAGGCAGGCGTCAGGGGAGGAATCTTAACCTCTTCCTGCACTGACATTAACCTCACACTGTAACATCCAAACAGACACCTATTTCCAGGAAGAGTGCCTAAAATAACCAACCCAAAATAAACAGAAATAACTCTTAACCAATAACCATTTGGCCTAGATGCATAATTCAGGTTTCCTTTGATAGGAAGCTAAGGAATATGAGTCAGCTGTAAATGAACCTATTTGTTCTGCTATTAAAGAGTAAATGGAGATGTAATAAAGGAAAATGTGATATTTTCATCCTGGCCTGGTATAAAATCTATATTTTAACAGCAATATCACCTTTAAAACCATCATCCAACTCATTATAATGCACCTGAATATCTTCTTATACACCTGGAAAACAACTGTAACTGTAAATTTGATGAAAAGAAACTGATATACAACAGTTATTACACAATTTGTCAAATATATACCAGCCGAATGTCCACGTTTTGGCCGTAATTACTGTTTATATGTTCACTTTTATTGGGAGTTTTCTTCAAAACACTATTTGTCTCCATACAACCATGTTACAAACGACATTAAGCTTCCAAAACAACAGTCAATATTCCTTTAACCAAAAATACTCCAGTGCTTTACAGGCGCACAGCTTGATAACAGAACTTCTTACAGGGCTGTAGAGTCTCGTCCCCGGTACCGGGTAAGTCCGTGCTTACAAGTTGGCACTGGACGTAAACCATGAGGTGCAAAATATAATAATACTGGGCTACTGTGTGTCACGAGGCATCGAGTACGTGATCTAGCTGACGGGAAGCACTCATGAGATCACTTTTACACTTTTACTTTTAAAGAGAAAATAAAAAAGGTTGGTTTTATGTATAGAAGCTGTTTTTATGCAACATCTCTAGCTTGAAGGACCGCAGCTCTGAAACCGCATGACTAAAATAGGCGTTTGATCTGTATTAATAAACCTACTGACGCCTATTTTCATTTCCCTGACACATTCAACCACACATTTACTGACGGCTTTATCGGTGTGTCAAGCAGGCCAGAGACTCTTTTGAATGTTCAGAACTTTTCAAAATAAAAGCTCTGGGTTTCAAAAATGTTTGGTTTCAGAGACCTGATGCTGCGTTTCTGTGTTCATGTAGACAGGGCCTCAGTCTGGCAGCTACCGTAAACGAGATGGTTCTTTACAGGTTTGTCCCAATCCTGGACTCTAGTCAGGCTGAGTAGATTCAGAGAGACAGTCCGAGGGTCTTGCATCTATATGTCAGCATATCTAATAACTCGGGATGACCACGTTTTGGATCAGGCCTAAATATGTTCTGGTTTATTGAACCGGATTTAACTCTCCTTGGTTTCTTTTTAAAGGCCACAATGAACGTCTCGGGTTACGTATGTAACGCTTGTTCCCCAAGAAGTGGAACGAGACACTGCCTCGGTGACGACACTATGGGAACGCCTCTGGGCGTGGCAGGGCTGAAATCATGAATGAAACTACTCCAATCTTATTGGCGTTGCTAGAACGGTAGCGTGTGACCCGCCTCAAGGAAATGGGCCCTCTCAAGGGCCAGACCCACAGTCTCCACAGGGCGGGGAAATGGTGAAAGACCTGGCCCTCCGCCTGAGTCCCTCAGAGGGACCTGCCATGGCTCCCTCCAGGAGCAATATTATTATGTGCGAGACTGTAGAGAAATGATGCTCCTGCCAGGAGCCTCTCCCAAAGCGGCCATCCATGACCGGGCCCCACCCCGTGAGTGAGGCGTCTGTCGAAATAATTGTCCGGCGACATGACGCTCCCAACACGGGACCCTGGGACAAGAACCAAGGTTTCCTCCATACTGACAGGGAACGAAGGCACCTGCTCGTAACCCGTATCAGACGGAACGGATTTCCCCTCGGGGAGAATCCCTTGGATTTTAACCACCACTGCAGGGCTCTCATGTGCAGCAGGCCAGGCGGGATTACGCTGGACGCTGCCGCCATGAGACCCAACACCCTCTGAAAGTGTTTCACAGTGATGGTGCGGCCTAGCTTCACTCTGGTCACTGAGGACAAAATGGACTCAGGACCTCTTCCCCCGACCCCTGCGAGACTGAAGAACGGTCCTCAGATCCGTTGTCTCGGGGGGATGTGGGCGAGAGCGCCGCCTCGAGTCCCGGGTGTGCTGAGGGGGACCACGAGAAGCGACACTCTGCCTCTGGCGGTAGGAGCTGGACGAGGGCTGGGACCGTCTCTCTGCAGCCGTCGCCATCCTGGACCCAGACCGGCGTGGGAGATACTGCTAGAACGCCTCCCCTTGCGTCCTGGCATGCTGAAACCTGCTGACGACGGCGTCCACCGCCTCACCAAAAAGGCCAGAGGTCGCGACCGGTGCGTCGAGCAGGAAGGTCTTCTCCCTTTCCTGGATGCCCGACTGGTTGAGCCACAGGTGCCGCTCCGTTGCCACCAGCGCCGACATAGAGCGGCCAATGCTCCAAGAGCTCTTCATAGCTGGGCGCTGACTGATGACGTTGATCCAGCTCCCGGAAGTCTTCCTCCTCCATAATGCTGAGCACATCCAGTTCCTCAGAACCGGACAGCCGCAGCCTCTCCGGGCTCACACCTCGAGCGGGAGAAGCCGAAAAACGGGCTCCCGAATGGGGAAGAGGGGAGGCAGAGCCAGCAGACGAGGAACGGGAAAAAGCCTTGGCAGTCCCGATGCCCTCGAAGATGTTGCGCTGGGAGCCCCATGACCGAAGCCGCCGCGCCGGCTCAGCGACCGCCGGACCCGAGCCACGGGGAGAGCGCATCCGGCCGTCTTTGGAAAAGAGAGCCACACGGGACCTCAGCACCCTCAGGGGCAGGGCCTCGCAATGGCCGCAAGCAGCCCCCTCGAGAGCTGCCTGGGCATGCGGCATCCCCAGACAGGAAACACACAGGGCATGAGTGTCCCCAGCCGTGATCTAGCGCGGGCATGGAAAACACACCGCCTGAACTGCTCACCAGCCATCTCCTCTGCTTCTCCTTCCAGGTAAGAAAACTTCCTCTCGTGGTTGCTTTTTTTCTGAGTAGTCTCAAACATGCCAGAGTGCCTGCTGAATAGAAAAAAGCTAATGTGTCCTGCGTGCCGGCGTGCTTATATACGCCTCCAGTTACGTCGTCACACGCTACCGCTGTAGCAACGCCAATAGGAACGGAGTAGTTTCATTCATGATTTCAGCCCTGCCACGCCCAGAGGCGTTCCCATAGTGTCGTCACCGACGCAGTTCGAGTTCCCTCGAAGGGGAACCAACAGTTACACTGATTTGCATCCTCTACGCTGATGTGAAACTGTTCATCACTCAAGCATGTAAGTGATAAAATGTCAAAGGTGCGTTTTTTATCAGCTTGTTTCATCTTTTTCATCTTTACAAGAGCATCAATATCATTTCATTTCCCCCACTCCTGTTTTCTTTGTCTTTGTTTTTAGATTTTCAGTGAACACGGTTTACACGGTGAGAAATGAGTAGGTACTTGAGTGAAAAGATAAAGAGTGAGATCGAACAGAGTGAAGGAAGTGCTGCTGCTCTCCAGACAAAGCATGCAATTTGCTTTGCTGGCTGATTATCTTTAGCTTTTTCTGTTTAATAATTATTTTCCTTTTTAAATCTCCATGAATGTGTTGATAAGATCACTTTAAAATATCAGCTTGCTGCCCAGCCGACTATTGTTGCCTGTATTGTATCTTTTATTATGGACATGTAGCCAACCAAAGCACAGGCAGCCTAAACAATCTGATTATTCCTGAAGCAACTAAACAATCTTTACAAGGCAAACAATGATTGTGGCAGTGACACGGAGCAGCTGGTTGTTGAAGCAGGTAAAGCTGCATACAGAGGAAGCTGTGCGTCATGCATAAAACCAACAGGACTGTTTTATCCACCATATTTTCTCACTCTGTGCATCTCAAAAATGATTGTTTCCTGAATAAATAACAGCTGGTAGCTGCTGAGTGAAAGCTATTGAACAGTAACCAATGTAAAAACAGTCCCTCAGAACAGCACAGAACAGGCCGCCAGCGCCACGGTGAGGTTCACTGGATTTCACTTGTTTCAGAAGAACAATAAAGCCTTAAACTGAAAAGGTATTTGCCTGATTTTATAAATGTTTGCATCTGCCCAGCTCATTCATATCTGTGATACGCGCCCGTCTCTGTACCACAGAGGAGACCTGGGCTCTTCTGCGTAACTGCGCACAGCCTGGCTGACGGCTCATTCGGTTACAGACTGCTGAAGTTATGAAGGTATGAATGTAAAATGTAGTGAAATTAAAAGTAGATTACTGGCCCACAGAAAATACTGGAGTAAAGAGTAAAAGTAGGCTACAGTTTTAAAAAAGGAACGTGAAAAGGTGCCACTTACTTTTTTATTTAATTTATTTATTTTGCAAAATTACGTTACTTGGAACACGTCCCTTGTCCGCGTTTCAACCGTTAATCATCTCTGATGCAGAGAGTGTGATTGATTGATTAACTAGACACTCAAACCGCCTGGCTATGAGCCAACTCCAAGATCAACGAAAAAAGTGAGGGGGACTAAACATTGATTTCGAAATGTGTGTGTGTGTGGGGGGGGGGGTATAATGGCTCCTATGCGTATGATGTAAAGCACTTTGAAGTGCCTTGTTGTTGAAATGTGCAATACAAATAAACTTGCCTTTCCGCTCATTTTATCATTAGCGACCCTCATAAAATACTTGTTAGGAGATCTTTTCTGAACATGCATCTGAAAAATACACAGAATAATAAAACGCAGCTTGAGTTTGGAGTTACGGCCCCCTGAACTCAGACACGACAGCGTTTCACCACCAGAGAAACTGAGAAACTCTGACGGAAGTAAAACTGCATCACTGCTGCAGCCTGTTTGAGTTGGCACACCACATCCTTGTGCTTTTTAAGCATGCATGACCTGATAATAAAGTCTCAGATCCTGATAATGACATGAAAGGCTGCTCAGCAGCTGAGACCAGTTTTACTTCTCTGTGTCTGTCACCAAACCAAAATCTGAGGTTTTTAACTAAAACAACTCTGTTGTTGACATCTCACATGTTTCTGTCTCTCTGATTTATTTATTCCTTCAAACTTACTAGTCGCTATTTAAAATTTAAAAAATTAAGAATAATTAATTGCACATTTTGCTTGTATTTATTATTTAGATACTAGTGCTTATTTTTTTGTTACTAGTAACTATTCCAATATTAGTAAGAATGAAAAAATTTCACTAGTTATTAATGTATGAAAAACATTTACTAGTCAGAATGAAAATGTTCTTTCTTCTTTTTCTTTTCGTTTGTATCTTTTGGAATAGTTAAAAGTGACTAATGAATACATATTTAGATATCTGAAGTGCAATTAATTACTAGTAAATACAAATAGTTACTAGCAACAAAAACTGAAGTACTACCATCTACTCAATTGTTACTAGTAAAACAGGAATAGTTACAAGTGGCTACTGAAAGGTACTAATAGATAATAGATAAATAATAGATACTTTTACATTTACTATTCGAATAGTTACAAGTAACTAATGAAAAGTCTGAACTGCACAGATTTCAATGGCAAAAAATGTGCAATTAGTTATTAGTAACTAGAAATTAACTATCTACTCAATTGTTACTAGTAAAACTGGAATAGCTACTAGTAACAAATACTAGTAGCTTTTAAATAGCGACTGGTAAGTTTTAACAGATAAATGTTCAAACGGCTCGTCTTAGGCTTCTGGGTAGAAAAAGGTCATCAGGGTCGGCCCTTTCCTGCCACCACGTGGAGTTTTGTGAAGCTAAAGCCATAAACTTTTTATGATAACAGGGCTCGGAAACGAAGGTCACTATGAGGTTATAAAAGGATGTGATGCTGTTTAATAAGTGAAAATGCTCCTGACCCGTATTTATCAAGCTTCTATTCTGAGAATAAATTTCATGAATTCTCAGCACAAAATGGCGCTTTGAGAAGCTTGATAAATACCGGCCCTGGTCCGCACATGTGCACAGAGGTGGGGTTCGGGTTCTCTTAAGCTGTTAAGTTTGTGTGGCATTGGAAACAATTCTGTAGTAAGCAGTAGTCAAGCCTGTACGCTGACAACATGTCTTCAGTCCTTCTTGAAATTAACAGTTGATGCAGTCAGAAACCGTGCACGCTTGTCGAAAGCTTCTTTCTTTGGACTTCTCTTTAGATAAAGCATTAAATCCCTCTGTGCGCTTGCAACTGCAGGTTTGGAAGTGCTTCCACCGTTTTATTGTCCTCACTAAGTGCTCTCTATCAAAATGACGAAGGCAGAACCTCAGTGAGAAAAACCCACAGCTTCATGGAATTACTCCTGATAGGCGAGGTCAGGAAGTGGTCAACCGACCAACCAACTACCTCTGCCACAGTTCAGCAGAATAATCTGTGTGGGACTCTGACCTCAAAAAAACCCTCATTTACAAAGACACATCTAACCACATTAAGTTCTGCCCCCGTCCTACCTGTTAGCGGCGATGTAACCCATGAAGAGGATACTGGCGTACATGTTGAGATAGAAGGCGGATGCGCCAAAGTTGCAGTAGACCAGGCGCACGGGGACGGAGTTGCTGGCGTAGTTGGCGATTCGGATGGGGAGACAGAGGCTGAGCAGGAAGTCGGCGGCGGCCAGGTTCTTCAGGTAGACGGTCACGCTGCTGGACGCCTGCTGAGCTCGGCAGAAGTAAACCCTCAGGGTGAAGCCGTTGAGGAGCAAACCCACCTGCAGAGGAAACAGGCAGAAGACAGCGACTGGATTTGGGGGCGACAGCTCGGCGGTTAATTCTTCAAGAAATTGTGCCAACAGATCAACAACATCAACGACATTTGAGACTCACCAGAAACACCAGACTGTGGGCCACCATGAAGAAGAGGTGGGCCGAAGTGTCGACCTGACCGCAGTGGTTGGTCTGGTTTGAGAGCGGGGTCACTCCCACTCCTTCAAGGTTACTCATGTTTCTGGCTTTCTGTTTCTGAGAGATTTGAACACAATGACGTTGTAAGTGTTGGAAAATGGTTTAAACGTCTGTTTGCAAAATGGTTACAGCTGAGAGGGAAGTGACAGCAGCAGCAGCAGCAGCAGCAGAGGAAACCTCTGCATGACAGAGACGACACTAAAATACACATAGCCGAACGCGCTCGACCTGACAGCTTTCTAAATCTAACAAGCCACAAGAGTTGTGATGAACCACAGCTCAGAATCCAAAGCTGGTCTGAGCTGCTAACAGGATTATAATATCAATTATTATTATTGACATCTCACATTGTGGATAATTTCACATTTCCATCCTGCGTGCGTCTTTATCTCTGCAATGCACAAAAGGGGGAAGTGAGTTAATATCTATAAACAGATTTGTGCACATGAATGCAGACTCTCTGGGCAAGAAACAAGATGTTGGCATCAGAAGTGTTGTGGTTTCAGTTTGTCCTCCGAGTAATATTAACATGTATGCAGGTAAACGGTCCGTTAGCTGTTTATCTATCTTGGAACCCCAGAGATGAGCTTTTGATTAGCTTTTTTAAAAACGTATTTGCATTCAAATCATTGTCAGATCACAGCTGATGGGTTCCTAGAAGGTCTATCTGTAGGTGCACGGTACTACAGGACACGCCAGCTGCATGACGCACCCTCTCTGCGGTCGCAGCTTGGTTGGGTTTAGGCCCAATGATTGGTCGTTTCACTCACATTGACAAGCAACTTTCTGCACACGGCTGCATGAAAGGCACCTGAGCTTCTGCCTATTCTCTTCTTTAGCTGGCAAGTGAGAAAGGGAACAGGTGAGCGACACATGGTGCCCAGAGAAAAGAGAAGAGCCAGCACGCAAAAAAAAAGTCCCGGTGTTCTTTCACAATATGTGCTGCCCGTGGAGAAGTACATAGCCGCTCTGTGCGTGCACATGTTAGATGCACCATGGGAGCATTTTTCAGGAGGCAGAAATCATCAGAACTCCGGCCCACTTCTGGTGCTCAGTTTGGGTTTCAGTAAATAAATTGTCTGGATACATTAATCCAGGAAGTTACGAGAGAAAGAAATGAAAAAGCACACACGTCCCGTAAATGGTTATTGTGGTTGTTCTTTTCTGCCACATTGCATTAGCTAAGACCACATTTGTCCTCACGATCTTCTATTTTCATTTTCAATCTTCGTGCACCTTCTACTGCTGACTGAAAATGTTTTCTTTGGACGGAGCCGCTCTTGACGTTTCCAGCCTGTACAGACTTGAGAGTGGTATCAGTCTGAACATCTAACTCACAGCGAGACACAGAATATGTCCCCATGCCCCAAAATATCAAACTACTGTTTTAATTTATCATTTTAACTCTTAAAAATATCTCTCTCTGAAAGTTACGTTGCCTCCTTTACATCAACAGCAAGCCTAAAAATGAAACCCCTAAGTCAGCTTGTGGTCAGGACCAGTTCACATCTCTGTGACCCAGTTAGGAATCTCTCAGAGAGAGGAGCTTTGTCTCTAATCTAATGTTAGCCACTGAAAACAAAACACTGCATGCTGTCATTTCTGCTTTTCTCAGAATAATTTTGTTGTAAAAACTTTAAATGTTGGGCCCAAGTGTGTCTTTCCTCACAGAATCTGCAGCAGCAGTCACCTGATCAGTACATAAAATCACATTTATATTCAGGTTCAGCTCGATAAATATCAGAATCAGGAATTCTATAAATCTACAGAAGAGTCAGTAAGTGGTAAATTCATCCAGGACATGTCGAGTCAACAAAGTTATTGTTCATGCATGAGTAATTTGTCCTCAAGGCAGCGGCCACAAAAAGTTGTTTATCCGGATTGAAAATGACATGTCGAAGCATTGCAGAAGAAATAAATAAAAGTGTTTCTGAATATAGAAATGTTCAATTCAAATAATAATATAAAAAAATAGAAATCTAAAGAACAAAAATTACATCTCATACGCAACCAAACATTTCATGTAGTTAAAGTTTTATCAGCTTTATCTAGTGTTCTGTATTTTTACTACTGATACTTTAACTGCATTTTGCTGATAATACTTCTGTACTTTTAGTTTAGTAGGATTTTGAATGCAAGATTTGTACTAGAACATTTTTAAGTTAGTTAGTTAGTTTTAAGTAAATACTTCTTCCGCAGCAGCTTTCCTGAATATAACTACATGTACAGCTCACAGATGTAACATATCAGCTATTACTGCAGTAGAAGTACACAGAGCAGAGTTACCTGCAGCACTCACCTGTCCGTCTGTCTGTGTGAGTCTGCTGATCTGACTTCCTTCTTCTCAGCTTTCACATATCGGACTGAAGCGACTCAGAGAGGGAGGGAGAGGAAGAGCAGCTGCTGTGGTTATGACTGCGCTGTAGATACTGTGTGTGATTAACAAGTCAACACACACGCAGCTCAGGTCCTTCAGCGGAGACGCTTTTAAAGCTGATGTTTCCTCTTTAAAGGTCCGATGTGTACGAGCTGAGACTCTCCACCTCTAATTCATTCTCCACAACACAGGGGGCAGCATATCGCATGTCAGGTCGGAACTGCTGCCGATTGCCGTGAGCTAATCAGCTCAGTTAGCCGTCTGCCAGAGGACTCTGTCTCCGGGGACGACGAAGGCGAAGGAGTGGAGGTGTTGAGCGGGAGGTCGGCCATCAGATAAGCAGCGACAGCGTGTAGAGACAGAATATTGGCGAGGCGAGTCAAGGCGAGGCCGGCGAGTGTGTTTCCACAACAAGGCAACACAAAGTGCCTTTCATAAAAACATAAAGCAACAGAAAACAGGAGAGTAACATTTACAGCAGTGTAAGATGTCAATCAAAAGATTAGATTTAAAAGAACTGACAGTTTCAGCAGAACTGCAGTTTTCTGGGAGTTTGTTTCAGATATGTGGAGCATAATAACTGAACGCTGCTTCTCCAGGTTTAGTTTTGACTCTGGGGACAGAAACAGACCTGATCCCAGACCAGCTGAGAGGTCTGGATGGTTCAGAACGTAGCAGAAGGCCCTAAATCTAAACCAGCGGCAGTATTTTAAAATCAGCTCTCTGACAGACAGGAATCCAGTGGAAAGAGCTCAGAACCGGAGTGATGAGATCCACTTTGTTGGTCTGAGTGAGGACTCGAGCTGCAGCTGTCTGATGGATTTCTTAGGGAGACCTGTAAAGACGCCGTCACAGTAGTCGAGTCGACTAAATGCATGGACCAGTTTTCCCAGATCCTGACCTTTAATCCTTCATTTACATGTACTCATTTGACTCGTTGCTGTACACGTCAGCGGTCGCACACCTCTAGAGCAACCAGGGGTGATTGTGACAGGACACCAACTCTCCTGCATGAAAGTAATTTTCGCTGCAGCCACCTGGTTAAAAATGTTTTAAGAAGACATTATTCATTTTTGTATTTGCAGACAATCAAACATTCCAATTATTATTCTTACTGCAGCTTCTGAAAGCAACTGTGCATGAAAAACATGCACATGAGTAGGTCCCCAAACGCCACATCAGTTTAAATTTTCATATTTATGAGTCATCCTATTGAGGGGGGGGGTCCATGGACGTCATTCAGGTGACTGGCCCTTTATCAGCCAGCTCTGCTGCAGCAGGACGACGTCTCTGTGCCGAAGAGAAACTGCGTTTCAGGAACAACATTCCTGTTTGCATCTGATGAGGAAGTTCAGCTCGAGGGATTCTCCCCAGCCGAGCTGTGAGGGGGAAGAGAGCTGCAGCAGCAGTACAGAGCAGATACGGTGTTATCGGTCGTAGTTATCGCAGCAGCTCCGGCGATGTCAGGTTTTTAAATCATCCTTCATCAGACAAAACAACACTCCTGTCTGAGTTTGATACGACCTGAAGGCACAAACACATCAGAGCGCTTGTAACGGAGTGTTCACAGCCCTGTCACAGTTTTTCAAACCTTTTTAACGCCCTTTGTAACCTTTAGCATCATTTTTGGATGCTTAGGGCTCAATTTAGCAACAATAAATATGCAGCGTCCGCAGCGTCGACTTTCAAAATATAAGTACTTGAATGTCGCCATTTCGAAATGGCACGTAAAGTTGGAAAACTTCGCAGTTTGGTTGAGTTTAGGAAAAGATCAGGGTTTGGGTTAAAATAATGGGTGCGTTTGACATAATAGAAATTTTAGAAAATAGTCAGATTTTGTCTGACTTTAACCGGCGCTGCAAAACCTCACCGTGTCACATGACCTCACGTGAGCAAAGCGGCTGCAGTTTCCTGAGTGCAGAGTAAGCCAGAGATCAATGAAGCCGACCAAAACCTGCATGGAGGGTTCCGTGTAGGCCCAAAAACGAAATCCAGAACCTGCGACATCCAGTCGCATTTGGTTAGATGATAAAAGGCGAATCTAAAAAAACTATTCGGCCATCAGTGACGCTGCGTTGGTGTTTGGGAGGTGATCCTCGTAGGCGGATTAAACAGTGACGATCCGAGTCAGACAAACCCACTGAGTTTGTGCAACCATGCAGCTGCCAGAACTATGGTTCTTTTAGACCAAACCAACTTACCGACAAGCAAAAAGAAAAATATATTGAATACTGGAAAGAAACGACCGAAACACAAAGTAAATCACAATGTTATCTGACCCTAAAGAGAGAATTCACACTGGCAAATTACCTGAGGACAATAAAATGTCCTAAACTAAGAAAAATGTTGACAACATACAGACTGAGTGAACACAGCCTGGCCATAGAAAAGGATCGACACAGACAGAGCTGGAGGAGGACAGACTCTGCTGTCAGAGACTCAGAGGACAGGTAGAGACAGAGGACAGGTAGAGACTCAGAGGACAGGGAGAGACAGAGGACAGGTAGGGACTCAGGGGACAGGTAGAGACTCAGAGGACAGGGAGAGACAGAGGACAGGTAGGGACTCAGGGGACAGGTAGAGACTCAGAGGACAGGAAGAGACAGAGGGCAGGTAGAGACAGAGGACAGGTAGAAACTCAGAAGACAGGTAGAGACAGAGGACAGGTAGAGACTCAGAAGACAGGTAGAGACAGAGGACAGGTAGAGACTCAGAGGACAGGGAGAGACAGAGGGCAGGTAGAGACTCAGAAGACAGGTAGAGACAGAGGACAGGTAGAGACTCAGAAGACAGGGAGAGACAGAGGACAGGTAGAGACTCAGAGGACAGGTAGAGACAGAGGACAGGTAGAGACTCAGAAGACAGGTAGAGACTCAGAGGACAGGTGGAGAGACAAGAGGACAGGTAGAGACTCAGAGGACAGGTAGAGACTCAGAAGACAGGGAGAGAAGGACAGGTAGAGACTCAGAGGACAGGTGGAGAGACAGAGGACAGGGAGAGACAGAGGACAGGTAGGGACTCAGAGGACAGGTAGAGACTCAGGGGACAGGTAGAGACAGAGGGCAGGTAGAGACTCAGAGGACAGGGAGAGACAGAGGACAGGTAGGGACTCAGAGGACAGGTGGAGAGACAGAGGACAGGTGGAGAGACAGAGGACAGGTAGGGACTCAGAGGACAGGTAGAGACTCAGGGGACAGGTAGAGACAGAGGGCAGGTAGAGACTCAGAGGACAGGGAGAGACAGAGGACAGGTAGGGACTCAGAGGACAGGTGGAGAGACAGAGGACAGGTAGGGACGCAGAGGACAGGTGGAGAGACAGAGGACAGGTAGAGACAGAGGACAGGTAGGGACTCAGAGGACAGGTAGAGACTCAGGGGACAGGTAGAGACAGAGGACAGGTAGAGACTCAGAGGACAGGTGGAGAGACAGAGGACAGGGAGAGACTCAGAGGACAGGGAGAGACAGAGGACAGGTAGAGACAGAGCTGCACTTTCTAACCTCATGCCCCAAATATAAAACACTAAGACAAAAATACTTTGCAAACATTTCCCAAATATACCCCGAATTCAAATTCATATCAGACTCACAGAAACTCCCCTATTTACTGGGAGAAATGCCCAAATGTCAAATAATATGTCTCCTCATGCCATGAAGTGAGGACAACCAGTGGAGCCTCAGACTGATAAATAATTGGACAAATATTTTGATTGTTTGATATTGTAGTAATTGTTTTGTTTTTACCTTTGACACTGATTTCTTTTTATTTATTTATTTATTTATTTATTTATTATTATTATTTATTTTTTTGTCTATTAATATATACACACACACACACATGTTTACGGTATTATCTATTTATTTTATTTTAATGTTTAATATATTATTATATTAACACACACATTACTGTTTCATTTATTTATTTTATTTAAAATTTTAATATATTTAAATTTCTTTTAACACACACACACAAACACATGCTTTAATTACTTTACGCTTTAATTAGTTGTTTAATGAAATGTATGGGGTTGATTGTTCATGTAGTTTGTATGATGCTTTGGCAACATTGTTGTTACACATTCATGCTAATAAAGCTAATTTGAATTGAATTGGTGTTTCATTTGGTGCGTCATTAAACCACCCTTATGCTGCGCAATTATGTGCAGTAGACACTGGTGCCAACAGGAAGCAGCGCTGTTTTAGTATTTCACTGAACTAAAACTGTTTTCACTGCTGTCCATTCAAAGCTGCGGGGTGGCTTCATCCAGTGATATACTGTCTACAGTCCGGCGGCTGCAGCTGCTTTTCTCCGGCTGCACAAAGTAGGCAGCACCTTTGTGACGACAGAACTTTACCCTCGTTGGTTCAGATCAGTTATCTGGATGCAGCGTAGCCTATTAACTAAATGGCCACTGTTTTCTAGTTTTCAATTCCAACCAGAAAGTTTACAAAACAGTTAAAACTTTATTACAGACTCAGGGTTTAAATCTTACCCACAGCAATACATAATTACATGCCCACAAACACACCTGCACACACACGTTCATTCTTAGTTTAGTTCAGCAGTGTTATTGTAAAAGAAGTTCAGTATTTTCACGAATTCTAAAGTCTGATTCTTAATAAAATGAATAAATAAGACATGTTATCTGCAGGTTTTCCATGTGTGGCCTTTCTCCTCTACACATTAACCCATTGCTCTAGGTGTTTTCAGAAGACATTACTTTATTTCACGTGTGTCAAAACTGAACTTGTGCTTCCAACAAGAAATGGTAACTAACAAATGAAAATGCAATGAGAAAACATGCAATGCAATGAAAAAGGGATGTGTATTGTCCAAAAAAAGTAATTTAATCAACAAAAAAAACAAGCTACTGATTGCTGCACTATATGCATAATTATATGTTTATCTTTTAAATTGTCATCTGCAACCTGAATTTTGAATCTTATTCTATAAATAAAGAACATAACACCATAAATTGCTGCAGGAAATTAAGTCTTTAATGCTCGTGGAGGACCATCAGTCCCCCTAATCATTTATTTCAGCATTGAATATTTTTTCAAAATAGTCTTAAAGGAGGAGGAGTTGGCCCTTCTGTGTTGAGCCATGCGTTTGTGTAGTGGTTGTTTAGCTCCCCCAATGTGCTGGGGTCTCATTTATAAAACTGTGCTTAGAAACCTCACTAAAAGTGTCCGTGCGCCCAAAAGTCAAAAATCTGTAAGTCTGCACATCTGTAAGTAATGTTCCCTTTATCAATCACAATCAATTTGAGATATGTCGCATGTGAGGGAGCTCCATCGCCAACCCTTCAAACGCCCACAGCTGCCTATAAACGCTCAGTGAAGCTCATTAATATTAATGCGTCCTGACTGCAGCAAGAAAAGGAGGCAGACTCTGAATCTAACTCAGTGACTCTGACGTTCGTTTTGGTGAAGCTGAAGCTGTTTGGTGGGTAAAAAACGAACTTTCACGCA